TTTCTTCCTGTATTATATAGATTCAACACTGGTTAAGCAACGTATCCTTTTGCCTTCATGAATTCCGCAAATGCTTTCTTATAGGCTTCTACAGTGCCCCAGTCAGAAGTGGAAGCCTTACCATGTCTTGTCACACTGTGGATGCTGCCTCACTTGTGGAATTTATCAAACCACGCACCACTGGCTTTAAATTCCTCACTTCTTGCACCTATAGAGGGTTTTTGTTTTGTTTTGTTTTTTTTTTGCAGTGACCCCTTGTGTAATTTCCTGGCATTTCCGCAAATGATAGCTTCACTAGCGCTGTCACCTTCCAGCTGTTTCTCATTCACTAGCTAAGATTTTTGCACCTATTCTAGTACTTTGTCCCTTCTTTGGTTAACATTGTTACTTTTTTTTTTTTTTTTTTTTTACCACATCAGCTCCTCTGATGGCATCTTTATTCTCCCAAATGGTTGAGTGCTTCAGCTTCTCCGTCCTGTAGTCTGAGGCCAGATCAGGCACACAAATACCATGCACAGGCTTTGCTGCAACTTTCTTCTTCAGTTCAGTGGTTACTTTCTTAAAGATCTTCTTACTATTCTTGTTGGGTACATTCTGGTTACCTCCAGTGCAGCTCTGCACATGCCTGTCTCCTTCATTACCACTCTGCATTTTGGTTACCTCTATGCTTGCTGTGCAGTTTCTTTCGAGCCATGATGGAGTGAACAGTACTGTACAATACTGTATGTGAAAGCACCCAAAAAAGCTTCAGAGCAAGGGAAGCTTTGGCTTCGATCTGAACTACAGAAATCCATGTTGATATGTCACAGCAGGGAAGATGGCTCTGTTTGTGTTCATTACCTGATATAAAATTTTGCTGAACTCTTCTATTCATGAATAGAAGGGACATTACTGTATCTGTACTAGAGAATGTCCAGTGTGCATTGCCTTCATTGTATGAAATCTTCTGATACATGAAAGTGTAATATTTTACATTTATTTAGTTTTTCTTTACTTTAATTTTCATTTTTTTTCTTCCTATAACAAATCTCCACAAACTGAAAAGTGTAAAATAATACCCACATATTATTTCAAGTCAGAAGTCTGGGCATAATCTAGCTCAGCTGGGTTCTCTTATTAGGGTCTCATAAGGCCCATGTTGAGGTGTAGCCAGGACTACATTCCATCCTGGAAATCCTGCAAAAGAATTTGTTTTTAATCCCTTTCACAGTTGGTAAAATTTATTTTCTTCTCAAACTTTATGTGGCCCATTTTATCTCAAGAGCCAACAGGGGTAGGTTGAGTTCCACTTGTGTTTCAAATATGCCTTTGCGCTGGTCAGAAAACTCTCTGCTTTTATTGGCTTATGTAATAACACTGCCCCTATGCACATAATCTAGTATAATCTTATTGTAAGGGCAGTTGAGCCTTAAGATCATTATTTTAATACATCTACAATGTCCCTTTTGTAATGTAACATACCATATTCACAGGTGTAATACCAGGACCTGAATGTAATAGGAGTTAAAAATCTACTTAACAGGATTGTGTCCTGGAAACTGGCTGAGCCACTTCCTAATAGCATTAGGTTTCCATGGTGGTTTCTATATACAAAATCATGCCTATGAATGAAGACAGTTTTGTTATTTTATTTCCCAATCTGGTCAGGTTCAGGTTGCTGTGCTTCGGGCCCCACAACTCAAGTCAGCCAAACCTGCCCTGAAGGCATTCGGAGCAAAAAAAAAAAAATCCTTATTTCCCAATCGGAATACTTTTCTTTTGTTTTTTCATTTGCCTTGGCTACAACTTTCAATATAGTGTTGAAAAATGTGGTAGGGAACATAATTGTCTTATTCCTGGTCTTGTTTTGTGGTTGTTGTTGTTATTATTATTGTTAGCATTATTATTTTCCTACCAGGGAATCACATTCAGGAGCTTGCACTTGCCAGGCAGGTGCTTATGCTGCTGCGCTATCTCCCTAACCCCTTTATTCCCACTTTTAACTGTGAAACATTTATTCTCTCTTCATAAAGTGTGATGGTAGCTGTAGGTTTTCCATAGATGTCCTCTGTAGACTGAGAAAATGATCTTATACTCCTAGTTTTTAAAGGTTTTTTTATCATGAAAGATTATTGAATTTTCCTCAGTGCTCTTTCTAAACCTGTTAAAAAGATGTCATGTGATTTTTGTTCTTTATTTTATTCATATATTACATTGCTTTAGTGTTACTGGGATAGATTAAGCTTGATCATAATTTAATTTGCTATTATTTTTGAGAATTTTATGTTTTTATTAATAAAGGAGATTATAATTCTCTTGTGTGACATATTTGTCTGGCTTTGGTGTAAGAATAATATTGTCAAAAAAAGCATAATATTATCCTCTAGGATGAATTGGGAAGTGTCTCTCCATTTTTAAGAAGAATTTCTGAAGGGTTGGAATTATATCCTCTTAAAATATTTGGTAGAATTCAATCTGCTATTCATTTGATTTTGTCTAGTTTCTATCAACTGTAATGACCTTAAAATCTAGCTAGCATTGTTGCTCATCTAGTCTACTACAAATGAACCAATTTAATTAGAATTTCACTGCCATTGACTGTTAACATTTGTAGTTGGACAGGTACAGCAGTTTATTTTGATGCCTTTGAAAATTATTTAAGAAATAGTCTGGCTTATAAATCACTTAATTTGAAAGAATAGATTTCAAATTTAACAGTGCCTACCAGAATATTTTTTTAAATTAAGAACCTGATAAAATCTTCCAATAAGAATAAAATATGCATGACAATCTTAATGATTTCAAAGGCTTTGTGAGCTTTTCTTCCTACAAAAAAAACATACATTCTTAATGGAAAAACTCAATCTCTGCCCCTCTTTTACTAGATATCTGCTTCTCTCATTTATATTTATTCCTCTAAATAAAAATGTTCCCACTGGTTATTTCTACCACTTTCTTTTTACTGGAAAATGCTGATCTAGGCTCAGTCTCTCTAAACCTTTACTAACTGTTGAGGGCCCCTTATTGTTCTGGGACCTCTGACAGAAAAACTTTCTTTTTTTTGGTGGCTCAGGCTGCCTTAAGGGCGGGTCTGGCAGAAAAGCTTTCTATGAGGAATCACATTAGTTTGGCATATTAGATGTTCATTGAAAAAAATCCTGTGAAAGGTATATTAAACTCTCAATTATATCTATGAGTGGACAACTATTTAAAGTTGGCAGTATTGGTACAGTTTTTGTAATAAGGCAGTGAATGGCCTCACAGCTCAGACTAGCTCAGTCATACTTTATTTTGAAAAGTTCAATCTGATATACCATATTATAATTGTATACTAATCAGTCCTGTATTATTACTGTTTTGGCAGTTTCTGTCAGTTACATACTGTTTTCATATTAATAGTAGAAAACAAGAGGAAAAATTAATAGGATCTTATATGTAAGCAGAAAAAATATGGATACATAGAGTTTACAAAATTCTTCAGTTCAGATAACTGTGTAATACTAGCGTTATGCTTAGAATGCCTGTCATTCTGGTCTTCTAAATACATACTGCTTGTCATGTCATACCAATTACTGCCATAATATCTCTCAAGTAAATGTTTGTTTAAAAAAAAGGATAATAAATGAATACAAGAGACAAGAAAAAGAAATGTCATAGAACTGACTTGCTACAATCCTGTATATGGTTAATTTCTAAATTTCTGTGTAAAAATATGTAATTGTTTATTCCTTTTTTTAAAAATTTATTTTATTTATTTATTTTTGTGTGTGTGTGGCCAGCTCAGCCCACCAGGGGGCGGGGCTGGCTGGCATGTGGTGCTGGGGGATTGAACCGCAGTCCCTGTGCTTTGCTAAGCTTGTTCTAAGTAGGTGCTTTAGACCACTGAGCCATCTCACCAGCCCCTGTTTATTCCTATTTTTAAAATATTTTGTACTTAATTTTTGTATTCTTCATATTCTGTAGGGACTTAAAGTTTAACATATCAATACTTGATGGAGGGGCTGGGGAGATGGCTCAGTGGAATAAGTGCCTCTCTGGTCAGTGCAAGGGCCTGAGTTCAATCCCTGGTTCCACAAAAAAAAAAATACTTGATGGAAAATATTTGTTCCATGATATGTCTAAGATGCTTGATATTCAGACAGATAGTGAGGTTATGCTCAACTGCCTATGTTGTATGGTAGTAATAATAAGCTTCTCTTCTGGAGGGTTAAAAACCTAAGTTTGCAGACCAAAAATTAGAGAAAAAGAAAGGCTGCAAGGACATCCAATATTTTGGCCCTAGCCTTTCAAGGTCAGCAGGACATAGGAGAACCTGTACTGTAACACCATGTAACTCAGTTGTGTCCCAAATTTTCTGATGAAGGAGATTATGGAGCCACAGAGGAATGTGATTGATGATGTAGAATGTGCGTAAGGAGAGTCACATGGAGAGAAAACATTCTCTCAGGCTTTCACAGAGAACAAATTGGTCAAGCAATGGCCATGACTCATCCACATGGTTGACACTCACAAAGGATCTGCAAACTGCGGTACAGGGTTACAGGATAAATCCTGAGGGGATTTGACTGTCCTTGTCAGATACAAAAGTTACATTTATTCTTATATAGGTCTTGCTTTATCTTGGTCTTAACCATCCAGCAGAAAAGTGTAAAAACAAAGTATGAAAAGTAAAGCCATATTAGTGTACTGAGTTGTAAAAGTCTCAAGTCAACAACTTCTGACATTGCCAGTCCTATGGATAACCCACTGCTATTATGGACTACTGGACTATATTGGAATATTTTGCTGAATTCACACACCTACAGTATTTAAATGGCAATGGAGTACCCTTCTCTGACAAAATTAAACAAAGAAATCTTGTACTATGAATAACCACTAAGAAGACAACAATACGCAATGTATTAATTATTGAAACTGTCCTACTAATCGTTTTTGAAACTGTCTCATTGTTGTTTCTGAATAAAATTATTAAAACAGTTCTTCAGTTCATCTTGTAACAATGTCTTGATCCTTTTTCTTAGACCAGAAGATCAATTCAGAAGTTACTAGAATGGGAAAATAACAGATTATATCACAAGGTAAGAAATCGTAACCAAAGCCAGGCATGGTGATCCAAAACTGTAATCCCAGCACTCTGGAGACTGAGGCAGGAAGATTGCTACCAGTTTAATATGAGCTAATTTATGTAGTAAGTTCAAGGCCAGGCTGAACTATATAGTGAGAACCTGTCTGAACTCCCACAAAGAAAGAAATTGTAAGGAAATGAATGCTCTACTCGGAAATTCACATTATCAATGGAAATGAAATAAGTCCTAGATGAGAGTCTTTCAGGCCGTGAAAGAATGGATCAGAGCACCAATATTCAGTTTTTAGTATACATTGTTTACCAGGTATTTTTAAGTGCTATGTTGCATGTCATATACCTGGGTTGCTTTCAATGACCTATTCAAATATATAGGTTATAATGTAAGTTCATACAAAAATTCTTAACAAAACTGTGCTTTCTTAGCTTGCTTTGCACTGGAAGTTGACTAAAAGGAAATGTGAAACTAGCAATATGATGGAGTATGTAAGTATGAAGTTGTTTTAATTATTATTATTTTTTTATTTCATCCTAAATGTAATATTTTACTATTTATCATTTGTCATCTTTTCTTCTTGCTATTTTTCTCAATCTGAATTTGTGTTTGGAATGCAGAGGTTTTCCTTCATCTTTAAATTTGTAGCCAACTTGAAATAGCCTGAAAGCTAACAATTACTTAGATCTTAGAAAGTCTCTAATAGTGTGCTTAGATGAAAATGTTGTATAACCTCAATGTTCTTTCTTTTTTTTTTCTTTTCCATCTGGGAGTATATTTTATGGAAAATTTATGAAAGAATATTGACATCAAAATTTTCATTACATGATGATTGTCCAAAATAGGTTTAAATATATATTTTCCCCACAGTGAATTCATGTATTTGATAAAAAGATCATTGAATATTTTGCCCACACTGCTTATGTACAAAGATTTCCAAATCAATGTGAGATCTATGCACATGAGGACTCATTACAATTTTTTTCCCTTGTATTTTACTTGTGTAGGGTTACTTACCTGTGTGAGTTCATGTCTTTGACGATATTTGTTTACACTAAACCTTCCAACATTTCACACAAAAGCTTTCTCCCCAGTGTGAGTTCTTTCATGTCTTTGGTAACATTTGTGTGTACTGAATCCCTTCTCACACTGCTTGTACACATAATGTGGTTTCTCCGCAGCATGATCTCTTTCCTATGTTTGACAACAATTGTGTGTAGCAAATCCTTTCTCATATTGCCTACATATATAGGGTTTCTCCCCAGTGTGACATATTTCATGAATTAGACAGGTACTCTGTTGGCTGAATACATTTCCACACTGCTTACGTGCATAGTGTATCTCCCAACTGTGAGCTTTTTCATGAATTTTAAATTTACTCTGTTGGCAGAATGCCTTCTTACACTGTTTATATGGATTGGGTTTCTCCCCAATGTGGCTTCTTTGTTACATTTTATTATTTTTTAACACATATTTTTAATTATTTATTTAGTTTTTGGCGGAACCAGGGATTGAACTCAGTCCCTTGCACTTGCCAGGCAAGTGCTTATTCTATTGAACCATCTCTCTGGCCCTATTTTATAATAACTCAGCATAATATATGCTTTCCCACATTGTTTACACATATATGGTTTCTCACTGGTGTGAATAATTTCTTGTATTTTACAATTACTCAGTGCAGTGAATGCTTACCCACATTACTTGCATGCATAGGGTTGCTCCCCAGTGTGGCTTCTTTCATTTTTAAAATAATAACACAGTCAGTGAATGCTTTTTCACATTTCTCACATACATAGGGTTTCTCTCCAGTGTAACTTCTTTCATTTATTTTATAAACACTCTTGGCAATGAATGCTTCCCCACATTGCGTACATGCATTGGGTTTCTAATCAATGTGAATTATTTCATGTATTTTATAATTGCTCAGTATATATGAATACTTTTCCACATTTCTCACATACATATGGTTTCTCTCCAGTGTCCCTTCTTTTATGTATTTTGCAATAACTTGAAATAGTGAATGCTTTCCAACACTGCTTGCAGGTCTGGGCTTTCTTACCCATGTAGAGATGTTCATGTCTACAAAGTCCAGACTTATTAGCAATTACTTTTTCACACTGATTAAGTGCATAAGGTTTTCCCTAGTGTGACTTCTTTAGTGTATTTTACAAGAACTTTGAGTAGACAATGCCACGTTGCTTGCATATATAGGTTTTCTCACCTATGTGGGTTCATTTATGTCTACAAAGTGCAGATTGAGAAGCAAACACTTTTCCACATTGATTATATGCATTTGGTTTTCCCCAGTGTGAACTTTTTCCTCCTGCATCTTCTGATACATGTATGTACTGAATGCTTTTGCACATTTCTCACATGCATAGGGTTTCTCACCGATGTGAATTCTTTTATGTATTTTTCAATAACTCAGTGTAGTGAATGCTTTCCCACTTTGTTTACATATATATACTTTTTAACCTCTGTGGGTTTGTTTACATCTAAGAAATGCAGAGTTATTTGAAAATTCTTTTCCACACTGCTTACATTAATAGGGTTTCTTTCCAGTGTGAATTCTTTCATGGATTTTAATACCACTAGGAGTGCTGGAGCCTTTTACTTTTTGCTTGCATACAAAAGTCTCCCCTCCAGGCTGAATTTTTTCCCTTAGGTTATAGTAGGTTTTCTTACATTGCTTACATTGATGGGGTTTCTCTCCAGGCTTTGTCTTTCCATGCCTCTGAAAGGATTGGAAATCACTGCAGCTTTTTATTATTTTTATTTTATGTATTTGATTGTTGCAGGGTCTCACTATGCAGCTCGGACTCGTGGTGATCCTCCTGCTTTCAGCCTCCCCTGTGCTGGGATTATAGGCATGTGCCCGTATGCCCCCAGACTCTGGCCAGTTCAGCCCACCCTGGGGTCTGGCCTGGCACAGCATGTGGTGCCAGGGATCCAACCATGGTCCCAGTGCTTGCCTAAGCTTGTCTAAGCAGGCACTTTAGTCCACTGAGCTAACTCGCTGGCCCTCACTGCAGGTTTTTCCAGGTTCATTACAGTTACTTAGCCTCTCATCAAATCCCACATACTCATGTCCTCACAGTCCAGTGTGAGGTAATGCGGACATGTTTAATGATAAATGTCCAGTCAGGGTCTTTTTACAATTTTAGCTCGCTGTAGAGCAGCCTGTTGCATCTCCATATCTCATTTGAAGCCCAAAGGAATATTTTTTCATGTTGATCCCAAACTTCATTTTGATTTTTTTTCCTATCTTTTCATTTCTTAAATTTTTCAGTCAATTTTTGTATTATTCTTCAATTTGCTGGTTGTTCCAAATCTTTCGTATAGCAGTCAGATTCATAAATGTTTCCCACATCACATCCCTGTAGAGCTTCTTTTGAAATGGATTCGACACAGCCCACTTCAAGGTGAAGTTCACATGTACATCTTCCAGGCTTGCCGTCCCTGTTGCATGGGTTGATGGTCTCCTAGGATCCTTCCAATGCAGCTCGCAGCCTGTAGAAATTAGAGACAAAAGTGGTCTCGTCCTCAGGATTCTTTTAACACAGACACAAACCATGTTATTGTGGTGAGAAGAGATGCTGTTAAAATATTTTTAAATGTTGTCAAAACTTGCATAAGATAGAAATTGAGTTATGCATTCTGGATTTACACTTCTGGCTTTTCTTCTTGGCTGACATTTACCTTTTTAATGGAGAAACTAAGTTTAATATAGGTTCAGTTTTTTTTCCTGAAAGCTATAAATCTGAGTCATAAAACATAAGTTCCACATGTAGCCAATATGATCAACTCAGCATCGTTAACATTCAAGAGAATTTAAAATTTATCCAAACTTCAAACTGCTATGTGGTACAGTATATATTTAATGTTAAAGATACCATTTAAACCAGGATTATTATAGAATCTGTTACCACTTTGAATAGTTTTGAGGAAAATGTGCAAATGGCTATGGATGTAAAATCTATTAAATACAAAACCTTCAAACATATATTAGATTTTTATTTCCAAACCTTTCTATAAAATGTTTTGGCCAGTCCAGTTGGACATTCTTACTTCTCACAAACAACTTGTGAAAGTTGTCCTTAATTAATATCAGCTGCCTTAATAGAAAAATACATAACCATTTCTTTGTATTCCCTCTGACATAGTGTTAATCCCTTCTAGTTTGCTAAAAATGATGGCAGGAAAGACATGATAATAGCATAATTTAATATGATTTGTTGGCTTGACATAGTTTTAGCTACCAGTTTATTTTTTAACTTGCCAGTCTAATTACAACTTGTGTAAGTGATATATGAGACTGTGGGCATACATTTCACTTATGTTGTATAGTGCAAGATCAGAATACAGTCCCATAGGAAGATGACTAGACTTCTGGGTTATGCATGCTATATTAAATGAAAAATATTTTGTTTTTATTTTACAGGTAATAATAATAGAAGTCTTACCAAAATATCCCATATTCCGACCTGACTGAGAAGTTTTATTCAGTCACTTCTATGTTACCTGTCATTTCCTACCCTTAGTGCCTTGTAGATGAGTTTTGGAATGAAGATGGTCTTCTTTGCTGTATTCAACTTATTCTTTATAATGGTAGAATATTCTCCTCACTCTTCTATTTGTGTTTGTATAAGAAGAAAATTTGCACATCTTTTTTTGTTGTTGTTCAATTAAGCTTGTGTTTTGCACTCTAAAATTTTTAAATACACATATACATATATATATATATATATATATATATATATATAGTTGCCACTAAAAATAAAGCATCAGTATTGGTGTTTAAAAATGAAAACCTTGTTCTGAGCATGCTGCCTTATAATTTTCATACTCAGTGTTTCTAAATATGCATCATTTTTCTAGGCTACTTAATGCTCTGTAATCCCTTACTGAACACTTAAATACGCTTTTGGTAGCTTTTAGAAATGGTTTTACTCTGCTTTTAAAGGACATGCAATTAATAGTTCTGGTTCTGTCCTGCACTTTGCTAAATTCTTTATGTTAGTGGATAAAATATTTAAACTTCTAAAGACTTGTAAATATTGTCTCTGCGTAATGTAAAATGTGGTATGCCATGGTTTACAGAATGTAATATTACTCTTACTATATTGCCAACAATTCTGCATAGATTTTTAATATGAATGAAAAATGAAATTTGCAAGCACCCTTTTGAATGTAGAGACCGTTAACATACAGTATTCTGGCAAAGCCATGAGTTTGTTAAAATTTCAGGTGTAGGGCTGGGCTGACTTTTGTGTAACAAGCAGATTCAAATTGAAATAATTATCTCAGCTATTGTGCATTGTACCTGAAATGAAGAACCTTGTTTTCCCCCTTTTATTCCATAGTTCCCAGTTTGACTTCTGCTCCATAAAAATAACTGATTTTACATGTGATACTTTTTTTTTTTTTTTTTTGCGGTACTGGGGATTGAACTCAGGACTTTTGTGCTTGCCAGACAAGCGCTTATTCTACTGAGCTATCTCCCCAGCCCGTACATATGATACATTTTATAGCCTCCATATTCATTTCCTTTTTTCCCTTATTTACACTTCCTTTGAAAATGCTCAGAAATACGATTTTTAAGAAATATTTTGAGCTGGGGATATAGCTCAGTGGCACAAGCACTTGCCTGCCAAGTGCAAGGTCCTGAGTTTGATTCCCAGTACAAAAAAAAAAAAAAGAAAAGAAAAAAATATTTTGAAGTTTCACGTATCTTGAGAAGTATCTAGACCCCCATGAAAGCCACTGATGACCCTTTCCTGGAGTTCAACTATTGTTTTGGGAAACATCTAATTGAAAAACTATGCCTAAAGAATGTATTGTGGCTGACACATAGTTGAGGAAATATTCTCAATGTTTTTGAGGATCTTTTATTAAAAATCTTGGACATTATTGAAGAAAGACAAGTGTTTAGACAAAAATATTTTAGTTTACAATTTTAACTCACATGTAGCCATTTGATTGGTATGTGCATATTTCTCTATTTTCAGTTAGGATGGAGACTACCACTCCAGTTTTACTAGAATGTGAAATTTTAGCATAACAAAAGCTTCATGTCATATTAATTAACTGCAAATGTATGTGTGTGTGTTATATATCATTTGTAATGCTAAAAGTAAAAGTGTCTGGGATTGAATAATATTCTCTTTAGCATCCTACTCTTACTGCTTTTAGTAAGCTTTTTACGTAAGTATTCATCCCAGTGAAGAGAACAATCATTTATTCACACAAGATCAAGCCTTTTATGCTACTTTTAATTTTTATGCCTAATTTTAAATCCAGAATCTTTGACCAGTATAAATGGAGAGGGAAAAGAGACACTTATTTGATATACGATTATAATTGTTTGCACAAATGCTTTCCCACCTCCCTCTGTGGAGCCCCCATCCACATGCCACCCAGCAACCCCATATCAACTTTTAATGTATTGTGTATGCCTGCAAATTTCTATTTGCCTCTGTAAAATTGAAGGTGTATTTTTATAGATGAGGTGGAAATCTTTGAAAATGCATATCCAATGTTTTGTCTTACTAAGGTCAAGGAAAACTTGTATGTGTGGTTTATGTTCCAGCTAATGCCATAAGATTTATGCTTTAGACTGTGAAATTTTAATACCAAAAATGATTTCCAGCATAATACACCATTTTGAATAGTTGTCGATAGAATAAATTGCTTTACAGTAGCAATCTTTAAACTCCTACTTTTTTTTCTGTAACCTTGGAATTTGACTTTTTTTCTGTAACCTTGGAATTTGACCATTAGGTGATCATAACTTTTTCTGCCATGTATGTATAAACTTCACTTGGTTTTCCTCAAAGAACAGCAGGAAGTAGTCAATTATTTTCAAGAAACAATACTAAGACAGGAACAGAATCTGTTGGAGGGGACAGAGTATAGTGTAAAAATCATTGTCATAAAAATCATTTGCTGGCATGTATAATTTTTCTCTGCAGTGAATGCTCTACCTCTGAGCCACCTCCCCAGCATGCACTTGTTTGGTTTGGAGACAGCATCTCACTAAGTTACCCAGCTGACCTAGAAGTTGTGCTTCTCCTGCCGAAGCCTCCCAGTTTTATTCACTCTTAAATTGATTATTTTATTGTTCATTATGATGGTTGGCTAATCTTAGTTACCTAGACTACTTAGAAAACACCAGTTTTCTTTCTTTTTTTCTTCTGTAACTGCTGCTTCAAACTGCTTTCCATTAGGAGAGGCTGATTGGCAGTTTGCTAGTTTGGAGTGTTTGTGAGGGGATTATTTTTTTTTTCAATGAAATTGGTAGCAGTGAATGTTGGAATGACATTCCTTGCCCATCAAGTCTTTTTGTTTTATCCTCAGGATGAAACATACTTGTATTTTCCACTGAGTTACTATCTTGTGAGTTGTTCTTAGGTTGGAAAAAAATTTTTTTTGAATTTGTTTGTTACATAATACTGCTTTGTAAAATCTGCAACATGCATTTGCCAAAGCATATAAATTTCATTAGTCTTTGAGGTTCCAAGGTAAGAGTTATCCTTAAAAATTAACGTTTGAATGCCTCTCATTTGACCCACGATTCCAGCTTAATAAATTGATTAAAGTGATCATTTTCAAGCTCATCCAAAAGGCCAGTTCCATTCATATTATTAATAACAAATATGGGAAAGTGTCATTTACAGATTAGTTGAATCCTGAGGCATGTCCTTTATTCTTTGTACCCTCCTACCTCCATGGTAACTCAGAAAACAGACATTTGAAGTAGATGGAGAAGTGCCTTGTCTTTTTTGAACAAAGATAGCATACTATGTGGAAGGAAGCAGAATGAATGAATTGGTAGATTACTAGAATAGAAATCATACTCTTCGGCTAGATGTAAAAATGCTTTACCAGTGTATCATTTTGTTGATTATGCAAAACTTGTTTCCTTGTTTTCCTCTAATCATGTGATATACTAATGACGATTACCAAACAGCACTATTAGTCACTTAGAAGCTAGGATAATTTTAATGCTAGCAATCATACTTTAACATGGTTCTAGAACAGTGGTCTTTGATTGAAGCCCTACCAAAACCCACTTAAGTAATGTCTATACCATTCATGTTAGTATGACCAATAAACAGTGATGTCTAAGAAATTAAACTTAATATTTATCAATCTATTTTAATGAATTTTTGTTTTTTTGATAATTTGAGTGAAGTTTGATAACATTTGTAAGCCTTAAATAGGGATCTTTTAAGAGTATGAGAACTTTAAAAATCATTAAGGTTTTTATTTTCTTTATAAATACCTGCAACTTAAAAAAATTAAACTTTACTACTTCAACATAAAGCCCCCAAATGGTATTTCATTAGACTATACTATATTGATGTAGGTAGATACAAAGGATACCGAAGTGATAGTTGTCCAGTGATTAATTGGGGCACTTTCACATGGTGAAAATATTGTTTACCAATTTGATTATAAATATTCCATTAAAATTAGGTCATCTTCCGGGTGTGGTGGTGCATGCCTGTAATCCCAGTGCTGGGGAGGCTGAAAACAAGAGGATCACTATGAGTCCATGCTGCGTAATGAGACCCTGTACCAAATACATAAAAAAATAAAAATAAAGAATAAAATAAAATTAGGTTATCGTATATCTATAAAAGTCTGCCCTTACAAAAACTCTGCTTTGCAACATTTGCCAAATTCTATTTCCCTTAAGTGGTGAACTTTAGGAAAATTTTTCATAGAAAAGGAATGGGTTTTATTAATAATTGTACATTTGATATGTAAGCTAAAACATAGATGATAGATGGACAGAGATATAAATATATCCTGATTATAAGCCAACCTTTTCATTTTAATGATGGCAACCTGAGAATATATTCCATTTTCCATGGGCTTTGTCAGACTTGCTAGAGGAAGAAATGGTCTAATGTTCTGGGCCCTATAAAAGTCAGCTAAATTGTATATCAGCTTCTTGATCTGTAAAATTACAGGGTTGAACCTAGAGTTAAACAGAAAATTAGAGATTATGCAACACTTCGTAATGCTACAAATTCTTAGCAAATTTTTCTTTTACAGATTGCTAGAATGGTTTTTCTCAGATCTACTACCCTTGTGGGAAACTCTCACAGTGCCTTGCACACAGTGACAGTTCAGTTAGCTGGATGGCTGTTAGTTCAAGTGTATTATTGTTACTCAGACTTAATCTGATGCCTGCTAGACCTTAGTCCTTCCATGTTGGTAAAAGTGAATGTAATTCCCCAGGCACTGAGGATTGAGATATCTGCTTTACCTATGTGGAATCTGCCTATGCAGTTGATATCAGGCAAGAATTACAGCTTTCACAATGGATATTTTTGTGGGGAATTTCATATCCAACTCAATATCTGCTTTAGCGTTTCATCAGGTCCCATGCCCTCAAATATCTGTTGGAACAAACTGATGTTTAGGTGGAATGGAAAATAATGTGAAATTCAAACCCAAGTCAATTTTAGTTTAATTTTTAGCTTAGCTGCCTAATTCCTCTGTACCTCATGTCCCCATTGCTGAAGTGGAGACAATAATCTGTACCTACCTCACGGGGGAATTGAGGATTTTTTTCATATATCAGTGTATTCTGAAGTTGATTGAATGATATACTAGGTGTCATAATTAGGTAATTTCTAAATAGATTCATTTAAATATGTGTTTGTTTTCTTTCTCAGTAAGGTCCTACAGAATGAGTGTTGTGGTTGATCTGTTTTTTCCATAATAAATTTTGTTATTAATCTCTAATTTGTTAATCATGACTAATTGTATTATGTTAATACTAGATTAGGGAGGAAAAGCAGGTGGAGTAAACCAATGGTTCCCAGTTTGGGGCAGATGGAGACAAAAGTGGATGATATCTTTCATCCTTTAGAATTATTTCAAAAAATATACTGGAAATCATACACTAACCCATAATACTTCTGCTATACAAGCCAATTGAGAAATGGAATTTCAGACATTTTGCTTAGATTCTTTCAATTCTGTCTATAAACACTGTTTAATCATGCTGATCAGAAGCTGTGAATAGCGGTATTTCCATTAATAAAGAAAAGCCTAGTCTTACATGCAATTTGTTAAGTACTTCAAAACATGGAAAAGGAATCATGAAGAGATTAACATGATGAAAATGTTGGGAGCCACTTTTATAAAGGAACTGAGATTACTTGACTCTCCACAGATTGCTTACCTAGTCTCTAAATAAGTGTGTGTGTGTGTGTGTGTGTGTGTGTTTGATGGATTGGTCTATGTAACTTCAGGTTCGAATTAATTTTCAATTTTCTTTTTCAGGACAGTATAACTGAGCTAATTCCCTGAGGTGTGTTCAAGTAATTCATATATATATATATATATATATATATATATATAATTGCAAATGTGGGAAGTGATGTGTCATGTTTTAGCATTGGATTATATATCCATCTCTGAGTCTCAAAAGTAGTTCTGTGTATAAAGTCGATATGAATCAGGGCAATGATTTCTCAAATATTCTTTTTATTTCTGTTTATATTATTTAAACTTTTGTCTTGGCTTAATTTTCTGTTTTTCTAGTAAGCAAACAGTGTGAAGTTGTTTTAATGCCTGGACTTTGGAACAAGTTATAAATGTTTAAAATTGTATAATCTACAAGCTAATTTGCTATCCTTAGACTAATCACAATCAAATATGAGTATCAGCAGCAAGAACAGAACATCCAGATAGCCAAAGTGGGCATTGATTAAAACATCTGGCCGAAAAGCCTACAGTTTCTACTTATTGGCAGAGGATTCCCATTGGGACAGCTTTATGAGAAGAGAATAATAGTGGATGAGTCCATTCAATCAAAGAACTTTGATGCTTCTTGTAGTATTATGTAGCCTGTGGAATCAATTCGTGTTTCTCCTTTCAGTCCAGGGTTGACTTCTCTGGAAGAACTCAACCTATATACAGCTGTGCCAAAATAAAGAACACCTGCCTCTCTAAAACTTTCACTGCTGCTTCTGTCTTTGTTCACTTGTCAAATTAAACTTTATTCTCAGGATGCAAAATGAAAATAAACTGCAAATCTATATAATGTAATGAATTGTGTGTGTTTAGGATCACATCTTCCTTTCTTTGTGGCTTCATCACTGTAAGGTAATTATTTAAAGGTTCTTTTAAAAGTTGTAATTTGCATATTTCCCTTCCCATATTGGCTGTGTTATGTCTGATCCCACATGCAATTTATCACATATATTGGCTTTGGGGCCCTTTTTGTGTCTAGTGTTTGGCTTTTGTCTACATAGAAAGTTATTTCAAAGTAACTCTTCACTCTGCATGCCTACTTGTGAAGTATAAAATTAAAATATAAAGACCCCATCCCAGTCATGAGATGACAGTGGTGTGATAAAGTGGTAACTTTTTTTTGTTACTGGGGATCAAACTCAGGACCTTGAGCCTGCCAGGCAGGCACTTATGCCACTGAGCTATATCTCTGGCCCTGACAGTGGTGAGATAAGGTAACTTCAGTTTTTTTGGATATATCTGAAAATTTATGAGGAGTAAAGGACTTGTCCTATAAATTTTTAAAGCATATTACAAAGCTAAAAGCATCAAAACATTGCACTTTTATGCAAAAAGTCCAGTAAAATAATTGAACAGAACTTGAAGTTATTTGATAATGCACTAAAATATGACAATTTAGCATATTATAAAGCACAGATGATCAAACAAGAATTCAGTAAACCCTATTTTCCAGATAGTGGGTCAAAACCATTCATTAATTTTAAAAGCAATTTGTGGCCACATTCAGACTTTTTAATTGAAATAGAGGGGAAGGGAAAGGAAAGAAAAGAGAAGTTTTCGCTTGTTTGAAAAGGAAACCATGATTCAGCTGTTCCTATCAATCTTTATAATGGTGAGTTTTATAATCTCTGTGTGCCAGGTAAGCAGAGAGATCTGTGGACAGTCATATTTTCATTTGAATACAGTTTAGTGGAAGAGAAAAAAAATTGGAATTAAAACTTTACCTTTGCACACCAGGAAAATGACTGAGGAAACCCTTATCTCTAAATTCACTGATCATGGAAGCTGTAGTTAATTTTAATTTTCACATTTCCCACTTGTCTACATGTTTTAAGTAAGTATTTCTTCTAGACCACAAAGAGGCAGTTTCATGTGCTTTAAAACAAAATAAACTTCCCATCCTCACCCTCTGATCTTGCTTCAGTACCTGTTCTCCAAAGATTTCCCTAAGGCAGGATATTAGGATGGCTAGAGATGAATACATTAGCTGTCTCATAGGAAACTTCTAGATGTATACCTGAATACTCAGGTCCTCCAAAATGGAATAACCAAAGCTAGATATGGGGAGGAAGATAGGAGAAACTCCAGATTTGAATCCACTGTCAGGGAAATTTATAATCCTGGGTCTGACATATAGATCATCTTGTTAGAGGATCTAGTTCCTTTGGAGGGAGCCATCAAGGAAGGGCCCAGACTGTTCCTACCCTTTTTACCCTCCCCACTGGCAGGGAAGGCTAGAGCATCAGATACAAGTGGACAAGAAGTGTTTTGAGAGGCTCCTAGTGGGCCCTTAGCTAAGAGCAGGTGCATTAGCCCTGATTAGGGACCCTGATATGAGTGGTGAGAAAACTAGTTCAGGGCTATGTAAGCACGAGTATCTGTGCATAAGGAGAACATGGGGAGGAGACCAAACATCCCAGAACAGGAATCTGCCCGTACTTCCACCATTTGTACCCATGGGACATCCTGCTCACTGCTCACTGTAGACATTAGGCAGAGTGTGTTCAGTGAGGTTGGCAGAAGGTTTGTGAGGAGGAATATAAAAACAGCAGCAGGATTTGCTTTTCAGGGAAAGGATTGGAATGGAGGAGGGCCTGGACAGAAATCAGTGAACATCAGTTACTAAACATCATCACATTGCACCTTGTCCTCCAATTATTTGAACGGGGCTGACCTTAAGATGCAGGCAAAGGGCCACAGGTGGCCACGTGTGGTGCTTGCAGCATAGAAGAGGGCTTAGAGGAGAACCCAGATCTACTAATCTCACACTGGCAGACATTTGAACAGGTCATGGGGAAGACCAACTTGGCGGCCTGCAATAGCAAGCAGGGCACTGAGGAATAGAAAAGTTGAGGAAAAGAGGTAACTTGTGGGCACAGCAGCTCTCCAACAAGACTAGAAACAGGAGAGAACCAGGCTAAGGGTCATTTGGGCCTTTCCTGCAGATTATAGCTTACCTATGCACATGGGAAAGAACTCACTATTTGAGCCCAGACTGCAGCACTTTAATACAACACTTCAATACTATGATTTTTGTAATCACATTTTTTGGTGGTTTTTTTCTCTTCTTTTTTTCTCTCTTCCTCTTTCATACCTTAATCTTCCCTCTTTCTATTATCTTTACATCTACCACATATAGAGGGAGTGTCTGTATAAATGCAGAGGAGAAAATCCAGTGCTTTAATTAGCTTTCAGAGGCAATTCAGTGTAACCATCCCCAAAATTGTGCATAGAGGATCCAAATTCAAGCTAACTTTCAACATAACAGGTTCCAACATTGTTACAACTTGCCTTAGTGTGCCCCTCTACTCTGACAAGTACTTTCTTAACCCCCCTGGAAACTAGCCCAATATCTAGCTATAAAAATAATTTCAAGAGAATCCAGTCTCTTCTCTGATTTTCACCTATTGATAGTTCTCAACTTACCTTTCTTTTTCCTTTTCTCTTCTGACCCACAGACCAGTCGAATGTCGCATAGCAGTCTATATAGAGCACTGGTAAAAGGGTGATACTGTCAACATCAATTGTAATGTACATGATTGATGGATGGTTAGATCTGCTAGTTTTGGTATAACATTGGAATTCTCTCCATGCAACACAGAGGCCAAGTCATCCTATTAAACTGACTTGGTTGCAGAGAGAGATAAATATAAAAAGCAGCGAAATACAAAGTCACATCACTGGAAAGGAGACACTAAAGAGATTTCTACATTAACCCTGACAAAGTCAACGTAATTTTCAACCAGTACTCAGTAACTCAGTATACACACACACACACACACACACACGCGTACACACACACACACACACACAGAGAAACATGAGAAAAAACAATAAAATGCCTTCAAAATCTAAATCTCCCAAAGTAGATCAATGAAGAAATAAAAAACTAAAGAGCTAAATTATGAAGTAAAAGAACAAACAAAAAACATCAACAGGTTGGGCGATAAGACGGTGGCTGTGAGTCTGTGGCTTGGCGACTTGGTGTGGGGGAAACTTGGCCGGTATCCTTGGCCAGGAAAGATTGTAAATCCACTCAAGAACTTGAAGAGATTACATGGAAAGCCATGCTTTTTTTGTGAAGTTTTTGGAATGGAAGATCATGTCTGGATTAAAGTAAAGCAACTAAAGCCATATCATGCTCATAAACATGAACTGATAAAAATCAATATGGTTAAACGATTCCAGCAAGCTGTGGAGGCTGTGGAAGAGTTATGAAGAGAGCCAAAGGAGAAGACCAGACATCATCCCACACTTCTGCTGATGACAAGAGTCGGCATAATTCCAGTGAGGAGAGAAGTAGGCCAAACTCAGGTGATGAGAAGTGCCAACAGCCTGTCTGAAGGGAAGGCGAAGGAGAACATGGGAGAAGGAAAGAAGAGTGTCTTGAGGCTCTGCAGAGAGAGGCTCCAAATCCCCTCTGAAAAGAGCCGAGGAGCAAAGTCCCTGGAAGCAGGTTTGGCCCCCAAAAGATAAGAAGGATCTTACTATCCCAGAGTCTAGTACTGTGAAGATGATGGCCAGACCTATGGCCACGTTTAAATGGCAGCCAACTGGAGTGAGTCTGTCAAAGATGCAGATCCTCACTTCCATCATTTCTTGCTGAGCCAAACAGAGAAGCCAGCTGTTTGTCACCAGGCAATCACAAAGAAGTTGAACATATGTGAAGGGGAAACTGGTTCCACCTCCATCCAGGCAGCAGACAGCACAGCTGTGAATGACAGCATCACACCCACAGACAAAAAAGAGGATTTTTGGGCCTCGGATTCATGGGAAGCGACATCATCTCTAACTTGCTAAGAATGGGTCACACAGTGAATGTCTGGAACAGGACTGCAGAGAAATTGATTTATTCATCCAGGATGGGGCCCACCTAGGAAGAATCCCTGTTGAAGTTATTTCAATTTGTGACATCACTTTCACCTGTGTGTTGGATCCAAAGGCAGCCAAAGATCTGGTGCTTGGCCCCAGTGGCATGCTGCAAGGGATCTGCTCTGGGAAGTGCTGTGTGGATATGTCAATGGTGGATGTGGACACAGTCACTGAGCTGGCCCAGGTGATTGTGTCTGGGCAGGGGGTGCTTTCTGGAGGCCCCAGTCTCAGGGAATCAGCAGTTGTTTAATGACGAGATGTTGGTGATCTGAGCAGCTGGAGACATGGGCCTATATTAAGACTCTAGCAGCTGCTTCCAGGCTATGAGGAAGATCTTTCTAGGTGAAGTTGGTAATGCAACCAAGATGATGCTGATTGTAAAGATGGTCCAAGGGAGCTTCATGGCCACCATTGCAGAGGGGCTGACCTGGCCCAGGTCACAGGCCAGTCACAGCAGACACTCTTAGACATAATCAGGGACAGTTTGCCAGCATCTTCCTGGACCAGAAGTGCCAAAATACTCTACAGGGGAACTTTAAGCCTGATTTCTACTTGAAGTACATTCAGAAGGATCTTCGCCTGGCCATTGCCCTGGGTGATGCTGTCAACCACCCAACACCTATGGCAGCTGCAGCCAATGAGGTATACAAAAGAGCCAAGACACTGGACCAGTCTGACAATGATATGTCTGCTGTGTACCGAGCCTACATACACTAAGCTGTAGATGTGCTGCCCCACCCTTCTGATCTTGTGCAACTCTTCCCAACATGAGGTTGGGAAGAGTCCTGGGATTTTAACACTGGACCAGTACACCTGTCTCCATTTCCTTTTATACAGACTTGAGACTTGCCATCAGCACAGCACACAGCAGTACCCTCCTCTCTGATGCCCTAGGAGGGAGGGATGTCACTAGGGTTGGCTTGTGAGGAAGTTCTTGAGCCTGGGCACAGGCCCCAAGTAGGTGGTTGTACACACACACACACACACACACACACACACACACACACATCAGGATAGAAGCTGTCCAGAAACTGCTGCTGCCTGGCTTTTTTTCTTCCAAGCTTGTCTTATCAAAACCCTCCCAGTTGAACTAAAATCAATAGAGGTTGACGTGTCCTGGTCCCTATCTGGACACCTGCAGGGGAAAGGTCAGGGCCAGAATGAAACAGCATTGACTCCCAGCAGTGGTTCCTATGTGCCCTTCAGCCTCAGCTGGGGAGGATTTTCAAGTCTAAGCCACCGATATGCACTCAACTGTTGTAGAAGCCTTAGTAAACTGAGAAGAGACTGCCACCATCTCACACACGATTTTGGCTCTACAGCAAGCACAGCAAGCAGCTGGGCTGCAGAAGAGCACAGGGGCCTAGCTTCTCACCTGCTGCTCAACACCATTGGCACTGCAAGCCTCAGCTGGTTCCAAGGTCCTTTCTTGCAGTGGGAGCTTGCTCCTCACCAGGCTGTTTTAGTGCTTAGATCTGCAGTCGAGCCCTTAGAAAGAGTGCCCTCAGGACCCTGAGCAGTGGAGAGTGAGAGCTACTCTACTCCTTCCTGTTTCTGTTATGCCACCATCTTCACATGGCTTTGGTCACTCACTGAGCTGCCCGACATGGCCGAGCCTGCCCTGTGTAGGTCTTCTCCATGCCCCATTTCATCTCTCTCTCTTCTACTTTTCCTCCCATGGAGGCAATACTTCTGTCTGTCTGTCTTATCTTTGGCTCAAACCCAGGATGAACAATGATGAGCATTTTTTAGACTCACTTTTATTTTTTATTTTTTTCAATAATTTTATTGAGAAAAAAATAAAAAAATAATTTTATTGAGAGATATACAGCAATGACAGAGTTTCAAATCAAATTGGTATGACAGTTTGAATAATTAACACATTGTATACTCCCTTCTTAGTGGTTATTTGCTGTACAAGATGCAGACATGATATCGTACTTACACTATTAGAACAAATCCCTCTTCATTAAGAGAATGTAACTATATATCTATCCTAAACATTTTGAATACACAGATACAAAATGGACAGTCATCTGTATCCCCCCCTTTTTTTTAGTTCTGTTACTTGAATATTATACGTGTGTTAACTCAGCAAAATATTTAAAAGAGTCCAGTAGCCCATAATAGTATTGGGTCTTCCACTTCACTGGCAATGTCTGAAATTGTTGACCTGAGTCCCCTACAGCTCAACATAACACCATGGCTTTAGTTCTTATACTTCATTTTTATACTTTTCTGCTGGATGGTTAAGACCAAGATAAAGCAAGACCTATGCAACAAGAGTTATAGCTTTCAGATCTGATAAGGTCAGTGAAATCCTCTCAGGATTTATCCTGAGATCCTGTACCTCAGATTGTACAACCTTTGTCAGTGTCAGCCATGTGAATGAGTCATGGCCATTGCTTGGCCAATGTGCTCTCTGTGAAAGCCTGAGAGAATGTTTTCTCTCCAGGTGATTTTTCTTATGCCCACTCTACATCATCGATCAATTTCCTCTTTGACCCCATAATCTCCTTGATCAGAAAATTTGGGACATAACTGAGTTGTGTGATGTTACAGTACAAGTTCATATATCCTGAGTCCTAATTGACCTTGTAAGGCTAGGGCCTAAATGTTGGCTTTCCTTGCAGCCCTCCTTCTCTAAATTTGTTCTATAAACTTAGGTTGTTAACCCTCTAGAAGAGAAGCTTATTGTTATTACCATACAACCTAGGCTGTTAAGCTTAACCTCACTATCTGTCTGCATATCAAACATCTTAGTCATAACATGGAACAGGTATTTTTCATCAAGTATTGATATGTTGAATTTTAAATCCCTACAGAATATGATGAAAAAGTTAAAATATATTTTAAAAATAGGCATAAAGAATTATATAATTCTTATGTTTACACATAAGTCCAGAAATCTAATCATATACAACCTTGTACCAGGACAGTCCCACAACATTCCTTTTCCTATCTCCTGCCTTCATGCACTACTCCCTTCTTTTGAACAATCATCTATCTGAGAGACAGCACAGCAGCAACTGGCATGTCAGGACAAGCAGCCCGTATTCAGAAGACCAGAATGATCGGCACTCCAAGCATGAACCTACTATTACAAATTGCCATCTTCATGGAGGTTGCTTAGTTCACAGGTGTCTGTATATATAGTTAGTCAGGGTGAGAATCATTCCAGTTAACTGCTTGATTCAAGAATCTTCTGAAGATTTTCAGGATCATTGCCTTACCCATCTTCTACATATAACTGTATGGCTTGCCCCTGTCATGTTTCCCAGCTCTTCTCCTTGCTCTCTTTTCATTGTCTAGTCCTCAAGTTCTTGCTTGCCTTTTAGTTGTGTTATACCTTTGTATTTGTATTTTTTCGTTTGAGGTCTTATACTAGGGAAACTATACTATATTTACACATGTATATCTGGTTTATTTCACTCATGAGTATATCTTCAAGTGGCATCCACTTAAATATAAAGGCTTCGAGTTTATCATTCTTTATAGCTGAGTAATATTCCATTGTACAAAAAAATACCACATCTTTTTCATCCATTCCTCAGGTGATGGGCAACGATCTCTTTTTAAGAATACTGTAATTTTCCTTGATAAGATGTTTGATTTCTTTAGGCAGATGAATTCCAAGGTATTTCATTTTCATCAGTGCTATTGTAAATGGTAATGTTTCCCTAATTTCCCTCTCAGTGTGTTTATCATCTGTGTAGAGGAATCCTATTGACTTTCCGGTATTGACTTTGTATCCTGCTATGCTACTGGATTTCTGTATTAATTCTAATAGCTTCTTGGTGGAGTTTTTTGGGTCTTCCAAGTATCATGTCATTTGCAAATAATGATAATTTAACTTCTTCTTTACCTATTCTTATTCCTTTTATTTATTTCTCTTGTCTAATGGCTCTAGCTAATGATTTGAGAACTATATTGAATAGGAGTGGTGATAGAAGACATCCTTGTCTTGTACTAGATCTAAGAGTAAAAGATTTTACTTTTTCCCCATTTCAAATTATGGTAGCCATTGGGTTTTCATAATGGCTTTTACCAGATTGAAGTAGAGGCCATCTATTCCAATTTTCTGTAGGACTTTGAACATGAACGAGTGTTGGGCATTGTGAAAAGCCTTTTCTGCATCAATGGAGATGATCATGTGGTTTTTAGTTTTCGCTCTATTGACATAGTGTATTACATTTATAGATTTTCAAATATTGAAACATCCTTGCATCCCTGGCATGAATCCAACCTGATTATGGTGTATGATCTTCTTGATGATTTGCTGTATTCTATTTGGTAGAATTTTATTGAGGATTTTTGCATCTATGTTTATGAGTGAGATTGGCCTGTAGTTCTCTTTCTTAGTTGAGTCTTTCTCTGGTTTTGGTATCAGTGTAATGCTTGCTTCCAAGAATGATTTTGGGAGGATTGTTTCCTTTTCAATTTCATTGAAGAGTTTGAGGGGTATAGGTAGTACATCTTCTATGAATTTCTTGTAGAATTCAGCTGTGAATCCATCTGGACCTGGACTTTTCTTTGTCAGTAGGTTTTTTATTACATCTCGTATTTCACTGGCTGTTATTGGGCTACTGAGAGTGGTTGTATCTTGTTGATTCAGTTGTGGTAATTTGTACCTTTCTAGGAATCTGTCCATTTCTTCTGTCTTCTATTCTGTGAGAGTAAAGGTTCTCAAAGTAGCTATTGATAATGTTCTGAATTTCCACTGAGTCTGTTGTAATTACACCCTTTTCATTGCTTGTTGCTTGCATTTGAATTTTTTCTTTCCTCTTTTTGATGAGGTTATCTAGGGGATTATCGATTTTGTTTAATCTTTCAAAGAACCAGCTTTTTGCTTTTTTAATTCTTTGAATTGTTTTCTTCGTCTCAATTGAATTAATTTCTGCTCTAATCTTTATGATTTCTTCCTGTCTTTGGGCTCTGGGTTTGGTTTGCTCTTCCTTTTCCAGTTGTTGAAAGTACAGCATTAGGGTGTTTATTTGTTCCCTTTCTGTTTTCCTAATGTGTGAGTTCACAGCTATGAATTTTCTTCTGAGAACTGCTTTCATCATATTCCATAAATTCCGATAAGTTGTGCTTGAATTTTCATTGAATTGTAGATATTGTTGAATTTCTTGTTTAATCTGTGACCCATTGGTTGCTGAGTAGGGTTTCATTTAATTTCCATGTAGTTAGGTTTTTTTTCTAGTTTCTTTTGTCACTTATTTCCACTTTCATTGCACTGTGGTTAGATAACATGCATAACATAGTTTCTGTTTCCTTGTATATAATTAAGCGTGACCTATGGACCAGTATGTTGTTTATTTTAGAAAATGAACTATGTGCAGCTGAGAGAAATGTGTATTCACCTGTGTTTGGGTGGAGCACTCTGTATATGTCCATCTAGTCCATTTGTTTCAAGCTCTGGTTCCGTTCTGTTATGTCTTTACTAATTTTTTGTCTGGTTGACCTATCTGTTTGGGATAAGGGGGTGTGTAGGTCACCTGTTAAGATTGTGGTATTGAATTTTAGATTTTTCATGTCATTAAGATTTTCTTTATACATTTGGATGATCCCGTGTTTGGTGCATACATATTTATGAGTGTTACCTCTTCCTCTTGAATTTTTCCCCTAACCAGTATACAGTGGCCTTCTTTATTTTGCTTGATCATTCTTGGTTTGAAATTGAGACTGTCTGAGAATAGGATTGCTATCCTGCTTTT